CTGGCGGTGACGGCCCTGTCACCCACGGGCTCGCGTGCAGGCAGGGGCCCCGAGGGAGCAGGGCCGCTGGCGTCCGTCTTGTCCCATGCTCACGGTTATCTCCCACCGCCAGCTACCAGCAGCCGCCTCCCTGCTTGGCCCTTAAGCCCGTGCTTAACTGGCTACAGTGCTCCCCCACTGCCAGGAAAGGAGATGTGAATGGCCTCAGCTTCCCCGGGGCCATCAGCACTGTAACTCGCCACTGATTCCACCCTGGTTTGGAGGAGTCTGCCATCCCTTCTGCTCGAGGGGTGTCATGGCTTGTGTGCGGTGCACGGTGGGAGGGCCAGGCAGCTCTGGCCCTTTTGGAAGTTTTAGTCCCAGAAATAGGTTTTGGGCTGAGGACATCTGGAAGGTGCTGCCAGGCCTTCAGGTGACTTGCTCTTGGCTGTAGTTTCATGAGTTATGTGTTATTTTATGCAACGGCTGGCAGCCCCAAGTTGCAGCATGCAGGAGACGGTTTGTTCTCAGGCACAGCTCAGGAGAAAGGAAACCTTCTGTGGAAGGGAGTTGAGGTTCGAACAAGTTCAGACTCATAGTTTATGAGAAAATTTGAATCTCCTAAGTCCTAGTTTGGTGCTTTTTCTAAAATAGTAAGCATTTAACAGGACTTTTCTGTTAGGCTGACATCTCCTCTGCAGACACTTGTATGACATGCAGTCTCCTCTGATGGTCCTTGCTGGTTTGGATTGAGTTTCCCACACTAAATTTGGAAGTGGATGAAGTTCTGCTGCTTAACTCAGTTTCAGCTCCCGATTGTTTCAGAGATCATACTATGGAGACTTGTGTTTGGCAATTTAAACCTCATCAACCAGCCCAGTGAATGCCCTGCAAGTATAGGAGACTCTACACACTTAAAGCTCCCACACAACTGTAGCCTTAATGTTGTGGTTTACTCTGCAGCACTGCTTCATATAAAGCCATGTTCACTTAGCTGCATGCCTGGAGCTCTGTCTTTGCTTGATTCGTGTTACAGAACAGTATGGTGCTTTCTGCTGCCATCTTCATCACGTTGATTGGCCTGATCGTGTATCTGCACTTCGTGAAGGTTGACCAGGAGTCTCTGCTCATCATCGGCTCCCCCCCGTCCTACGCTTCGGGCAAGGAGAGCACAACCTTCATCGAGATGAGTCAAGTGAAGGATGTGGTCATCAACGAAGCCATCCACATGGTAATTGTACACGGGCTTTCTTCATGTGTAACTGCAGGCACTCCTGCATCCAGTCTGTTTTCATGGGCTTGGCTTAGCTGACTCTTCTTGTTAAGTGAAGGGCAAAAAAATTATGTACTTGACTGTGTAGTGAAAATGTATATGTTTGACTGTGGCCTGGGGTGATGGGGACAGGGCATATGCATTGTTCTTATATAGGCATTGCTGCATATGCTGCCGGGGGAGGGAGGGTCACAGCTCCCAGCAGAAAGGCTGAAGCAGATAGCTGAGAGAGATAACAGTTTTATATGGCACCCATAAAAGCACCAGAGCTGACTTATCAGCAGATCTATCAGTCATAGTCCCAAAGGCTTATCTGTAAGAAATGTGCTCTTTCTGAAGATAATTTCGGACACCAGTCAGTCTGTGAGGGAAAGACAATCCTGCACATTAAAATATTTTGATTGTGGATAAAATTAATTGATATCTTTCTGATAGCAAACTCCTTTAGCTGAAATAGTATATTTAGTATAACACAAACAGGAGTTTATTACTCAACACATTTAGTATAACACAAGCAGGAGTAACAGAGTGATTTTAAGCTTTTTTATGCATAATTTTCTAGCAAAAATACCCTGTTTGCTCTATTAAAACACTGCTGTGTCTGCTGATTTATGTTTAGAAAATATCAAATGCTTCCTACAGGCCAGTTTAGTTAAAATGGGTCTTCTTTCTTCAATAACTGCATGTTCTCTGACAGAATTCTCAAACCATGCTGATTTTGCCTTTTTGTCTTTTAGCAAAAAGTTATTTACTACCTGTGCATCCTTATCCGGGACCCTCAGGATCCTCAGGGAGTGTCTGAGGTTGTGCCACTCTTTCAGGTGAGTCTAACTGAATTGTGGAGAAACTAAGTTTGATTTGCATATGTACCAGATATCTTGATGTAGTCTCTTTTTTTCCACTACAAGCAGTCAAATTACAACTGTACTTGTTCTTCCTGGCTGAGCCTTCAGGTTGGTTCTTACAGCACTTTGTAGCAGGTGGGGCCAGAAGTCTCACAGAACTAAGTAAGTGCTGCAGATGCGGGATCTCATCTGTCCTGCATTCAAGGAATAGGGAATTGTGTAAATTTGAACCCAACCAAAAGCTTGCATGAAAAGCTTTGTCTTTGGCTCACGTAGGATAATAAAGACTGGTACAGCTTTCTGTGTGTAGTTTCATGCTCTGTGTTACCACCAGGACTACAGTACTGTGCTGGAGCTGATTTTTGTCTCTGTCAGTGTGCCAGAAGTGCTCATGGAAGTTTCCTTGGCATTAGAGCAAGTTCCTCTTTCTCACCGATTGACAAAGATCACAGTACAAGCTGTGAAAGATTTGCTTAATGTATAATAACTTGTTTGTGTTGTTACCTTCTCTTGTCTAACCTTTCTTGTCTTCCACTAACCTGTTTTGACTGCTCATAATTCCATCTTTGGGATGGGGTTTCTTTCTGCCTGAGCTTGGATAACACAACAATACCTTGATCCATGAGTGATGGCAAGCAAGCAAGCCCGATGTACCTCCCATAGACTGCAGATAATTTTTTTTTATCATTTTGAAATCTGCATATAATTTAAGAGCCGATTTAGCCTTCAGCTAAACGCTTTCAGGTACAAATTTTACTGATCACTGATACTTGCTGCTGACTTGGTCCCACAATCCTAAAGGCATTTTGTAATAATAACATAAATGAAATAGTTAAAGGAGTAAAACAGATTTTCTGGAAGACTACAACTAATATATTACAGAAAGCTGTACTCAGGAACCTTGTTTTAGCTTTACAAGCTCTTTGGCAGCTTCATGGGGGGCTGCCTGACATATTTATTCATTCATTCATTCGTTCGTTTTCTTCTTGCTCAATGCTGAACAGTGTATGCCTTCCATGGAAATATCTTGATATTGGTTGATTTGACCAGCAAACAAGATACGGAAATAGCTGCCTCAATTTGAAATTCATTACCTGCCAGTAATTCTCACTTTTAAAGTGCAACTTAGCATGTTACTTAGTTTTGAGGGAGCAGTAATTAGTAACTCTGTTGCAACTTATTCATTGGGCGTTTGTTATTCTTCAAAAAGTTATGTTAGTCTTCAGAAACACCATTTACCGTGTCACTGAGCCCAGGAACCTTCTGCTGAAGTGACCTCTTGCTCTTTTAAGTAACATTTGCAAGGAGAGGCATTTGATGGCTTTACAGAGCAGTTTTGTTTTGGGAGCTCAAAAGTCACCATAGGGACTGAGTCACCAAGCAGGTCAAATATGGGATGGAGCAACTTGCACTTCTTTGCTGGTTTTGATCTGGTCCAGGTCAGAAGAGATGGAAAGTCATTACACTTTGACCACTATTCCCTGTTTGCGTGAAATGAATTGATGTATTCAGTTAATCTTCTGTTGTCCTCTCATTGCTGGTACTAGCAGAGGCCAAGGGCCAGGAGTCCAAACTCCCTGCTCCGAAGGTGGATTTTTGAAGGTGGAAGTCATGGTGGTCATGAGAATGGAAGGATGGTGCAGTAGTATGTGGAAAGCTGCTCTTTTGTAGGTAAATAGAGGTAGTACAGTCTACTCATAGGATAAGGGGTTCAAAGATGGGGATTTCTTCATTATGTTCTCATTGTGAACATGGAAAGGGGAGGATTTTTTCATTTGGTGAGTGACTTAGGCTAAATGCCGAATGGTGCTGTGCGTTCTGACCCAACAGCCTTAGGGACTAGCATTTTTCCTCAGAGCAGGTATAGCTTGTGTAGCAGCTTTACCTTTGCCTCCAGGCTACATCAAACACCTCCTGGGCTTTGCTGGACTATTTCTCAGTGAATGTGTAAAAGGAAATTCCCTGTTGACTCTGTTGAGATAATAAAGCTAATCAGCTACAGCTGCCTGGCTGTTGCATTCCTTCTGCGTGCATACTCTGACAGTCAGCTATGTCAGCTCTCTGCACATTCCTGGCTCTGCCTGACAGATCGCACCGGGTGGAAAGTTGAAGCTTTCCGGTGCCTTTGCAACCATTTCAGAGCCTGATTCTCTGTTGCTTGACTTGCGTTCTAGAGCTCCAAGCCACGTCTGGACTGCTTGGTGGAAGTGTACAAAAGTTGTCAAGAAATCCTGGCGCAGAGGGAGATGCCTCCACAGTCAAGTGAAGTGAAATAAATCGAAAAAAAAAGATGGAAAAATTGCCGCAGAATTTGGAGACACATGTAGAAAACCAAGCAAAGCTGACCTGTGGCATTTTAAGTTACTAAGAAGAATGTGGTGCTACAGAAGAATGATGTTAAGGCTGAAGGCCTGCACAGACTCACAGAGCTGCTAATGAAAATGTCATTTCAAGTGCATGATTGGTCCTTGCTCTTAGATATCACAGGATGAATTTCTGTGAAGACAAGTGAGTAGAACTGTTGGACAGAAAAAGCCTTTCCAGAAAAGGCCTTTCCAGGCAAGAATTAAGGGGGGAATATGACAAGGGATAGGGGTCATAAACATGCATTGAATGTGTGTTCTTTAGTGGGTCTGAAAATTCTGACAAATAACACAATGTAACCTTGACCAGCCTGCCAAAAATGTGCAATTTTATGAGTTTCTTAACCTTCTGTTTGGAAAAAAAAAGGATCTACCACTCTAGAAGATGAAAGCTGAGGGATGGCCTAGGATGGCAACTTCCTCTGATTCACAGGGGGATTTCAGAAAGAGAACAATAGAAAACTAAAACAAACTGTAACATTCAATTACATTTGCTAAAATGTCTATTGTTCATTAATTGCCCTAGGCATATGCGTACCTATGTTGTTTAAGACGGTGAGAATGACTGTATGAATAAAGCTATGTTGCTATACGTTCTAGGGAGCAACTTTATGTTGGAAAGATTTTTCCTTACTGATAACCTAAAAGTTATGGTAACTTTACACGGCATTTTTCTCTTCCTTTTTTCCCCCTGACATTGCAGCAGTACAATTGAGGCAATTCAGAATGTCTTCAGGATCAGAGCTAGACCAGCAAGCCGGCAGTAGCCTGAGGGTTACGCTTCATTTGTATACAGTGCCCCCTATTACAGGTGCAGTCTACATAAGCTAGAAGTAAAACAGTTTGTGCCTCATCATGCAATACTGTAGAGAGAGGTGATTTTTTGGACTGTTTCATGAAGTTTTAAAGACAAAGGTTATCACAGAAGTGCATTCTTGTCATCAGAAAGGCAGCAGCTTTGGGATGTACCACTCTTCTGTGTGGTCTTGGCTAGGTTACACACAAATCTTTTAACGATGGAGTCGGGTGCCGGGGAGGCCGGTGGGGCTCTCTGCAATCACGGAGCTGCAGGCTGAGCAGCGCGCGCTTAGCCCTGGGGAGGCCGAGTTGGCCATTAACAGCAGCCGCAGGCCCCGGGGGTGCCACTGCATCAATGATTGCAGAGGGCTCTGCCTGGAGCACCGCGTTGCTCCGGAGGCTGCTCCCTCGGGCAGAGAGGAGCCCAGCTCCAGCTCCCGCGCCATCCTAGCAACGCTCCAGCAGCAGCAGAGAGGAGTCAGACGAGGGCAGGTTTGCGCCCCCGGCTACCAAACCTCATCTCTGCACGCAAACGTCCTCAGGGCTGTTCTGGCTTTTAAAATAATAACATGTTTCAAGCTAAGAATAAATACAACTTCAGTCATGATACCTGCCTTTTATTAAGAACAAACGTAAATCTCATATAAATCCCAGCCAGCCTTTTGCATACACACAGCAGTTAGGAAAACAAAGGCATTTGTCGTCACATTCTACGCTTTAGAAATAGTCCATTGTCAAAAGCATTGATTAAAATAAAAATTTTCTCTACCAATCATACAAAACAGATATCTACAGAGTTTTATTTTTAAAGACAGGTAGGCTATAAACAGGAGGTATATGTGCACCTAGCAGAGTGGGTTGGTCCCTGAAGTAACTCAAGTATTGGTGAATATTTCTAAAAAATAAAGAGGCAGAAAGAATTCATGTGCCACACCTGTGTATTTAAAGTGCAGTTATGTCAGAACATACCCAGCTCGTGACAGCTGCTGTGCATTCAACGCGCCAGCTTCCTCTGGGCTCCAAGAGAAGTGTTAGTGCTGGCAGGCAAGGGCAGCCTCCCGAGGGGACAGCAGGGACTTTGCTGCCGTGGGCATCCTCAGCACTGAGTCAGCTCGTTGTGCCCCCCTTCCTGCCAGCTACAGGCCGCAGGATCCTGAGGAGCTGCTTGCTGCTGTGCGAGCAGGAATAAGGTTCGCCTTATTCAAGCTCAACGTCTGTCCCAAGATTATTAAGAGAGAGAATGCGTGCGTGTGAGAGGGGCAAACCATGCTACTCACCACTATATCACCAGCCTTCTCAAAATTGTGGCTGTTTTTTGGCTCAGAAAACTTCTGCCCTTTAAAAAAACTTAAAGGAATGGTCTCTAAATTCATGAGGAGGGGATAGATTGCAATATGTGCAAAGCAGGTCTCTGTTTAAGTAAATTTTTCCTGATTTATGGCTACTAAAAGTGTTTTCAAAATCCAGCTTTTTTTTTTTTTTTTTTTTTTTCTGGTAATATTCTTTTGTATGTTATACGGAAGCTGACAACAGTGAGCAGAATTACACCAAATGCGCCTGTCCCATGCTCTTCTCTCTTAATTTATGCCTATGCACCCACTACACCGTTAAACAAAAACTTTTTGAAGCATCAGCATGAGTAGGATATTTCAGGACTGGTGGCAAGTACAAGGAAGTAAACACACGGGTATGGTTGGTTTGTTCATTTGTGCGTGGCTTTAGTTTGCTATTGCTGAATTCTTTATAATGGTTGGATTCACACTGTTTTCATGTGGGAAAGTTGCCCATGCATGCAAAATTAGTATGAAGTCCTCTTTAGAAAAAGGGCAATTCTTCTTCCTTCTGTTGTCAGAAGGCTTATGAAAACATCAGAATTCAGTCAAAGAGATGTTCAGAAAGATTGGCTGCTTTTCTTTTTAATTGTTCAAAATTCATTAGGCTTTCTTCAAAAAGACAAAGGCTCAAAAATATTTAGGAAAGGGAAGGACAGTACATGCAGATAGACAGTTGCTGGCTACCTCCTCCTTGCTTGGGTAGCATGAAGGAAGCAGGAGTCTGAAAGGAGCAACTTTGGAAGAGTGTGGCTGGCAGAGCCGAGGTGTGTGTGGGCAGGGGATAGCTGTGCCAGGTGCTGAAAAACAAGATGTACCAACATTGCCTGCCTGCCTTTGAGATCAGGTGTGGTTTCAAACACAGCCCGAAACACAACAGTGATTAACAGAACAAGTCTTAGAAAGTGCTTGTCTGCTGCTGGGCTCGGAGGCACTCAGCCCTGCAGCAGCAGAGATCCAGTCTTCATCCATGCCGGGACAGCGTCACCTCCTGAAATACATCAGTGCTGCGAGAGCTAGGGCATCATCCAACTGTGCCAGCCCCAGGCGCCCCACGTCCTCAGCATGCACCAAAGCCAGGTTTCCACCTTTAGTTAACTAAGGTGGAAATTAAGTGCTACTAAACTCTTATTCCAGACTCCCTTTCAGTTTTAAAATAATCCTCGACTGAAACCAAGGTGGTTCTTGTCAATTTAGTGCCTCATCCCTCAGGAGAGCTTGTTCTTCCTTTCGCTTATGTCTGGAGCAAGGACTAAGAAAGATTCTGGGCCTTTGAATTTGCGCACCACCTTGGGGAAAGAGCTCTAAGGAAATACATAATTGTAGCCTTGGTTGTGCCGAGCCGTGGCACAAATACACACAATTAGTGTAGGTGTCTGTAAAAAGACTGTCTGTATTTTGGGAGTGACAGCAGTGAATGTAAGCAGTACTGAAAACTTCAACGTGGTGGCTATTCACCACCAGAGCACAGAGTTCAAGTTATGCCTCAACTGTCGTGTTACTCGTGACACTCGGGAGCTGCCGATTTCGGGGTGCAGCTGCTCTGTGATGCAGCGATGCGGGCGCTGCTCGGCAGCACGCAGCCTCGCGCAGGCCTCAGCCACACGCCGCCCTGCCATTACCACCTGCTTTTAATTTTAACAGGACTGTGTATTTAGCTCCCTGCAGTCAAGTCCAAGTCTTCTATACAAGTCAAACCTGTCCTGCAGAGGTTACAGTCTAATTCAAGTAAAGAGCAGGTAAGTTAAGGATCAATATTAACGGAAAACTCCTAGAAATAATGAAAATAACTGAAAGGGGATGTGATAAGGAAGAGAGGCCCCTGGGAGTTTCAGAGTCAGACTGAGGCTACTCTAAAGGAGATGCAAAGCTGTGAAAGGGAGGGATCAAAGAAAACCTATGTGCTTGGAAGGGAGATGGAAGAAGAAAAAACACATAGAGGGACAGAAATGTGGAGAATGTCATCTGACTGGAGCACAGTGCAGGGAAGGGATCTGAGCCATGGTGCTTTGGATGGAGCGCGGCATGGGAAGGAAAGTCCTGCAGAGCTCCAAAGTCAAGCTTTTTGAAAAGAAAGGACCCTGCCTTTATCTACACTAAGGAATTTCATGTATTATTATGGAGAAGAAATTGGAGCCTGTATTGAAACAAGGTGGGTAATCAGCAAAATCACAGCAGTTGAATTCAGTACAGAGCAGTGCAAAAAGACAAAAAAAAAAAAAAAAAAAGCACCCAAAATCATTTGGAATGAGCCCTCAGAGCAGGGTGGGACCCTTCGTGCTTCGGGGCATGGAAGGGTGAAAGCACCGACTTTCGGTCTCCCAGGGAGCAGGAGCTGCACTTTGGGAGGGCTGTGCAGAGCACGAGAGCGAGGCTGCTGCACGGTAGTTAATGTAGCTGGCAATGAGAAGTGTTGCTTCAACAATCTAGGGGAAAAAAAGAAAATGATTAACTGTAAGACAATTAGAGGAGAACGTGCCCTTTGATTTTTTTAAAATCCTTATTGGCTGCAAAACTTTTCCAGACAACCTTGTCTCATACAAAGATTTTAAGTTAAGACCTGGCTTTCTGAGTTGGGTGGAGTAAGTTACTTCATTAAAGGCTCCAGCTTACAAGGGATTTCTTAAATGTGTATTCAAGAAGATAGATATAAATGCAGCAACCAGAAGTACCATTTGCCAATGCTTGTACAAAATGCCCAGCTGTGACACTGCTAGGCAGAAATTCTCTCACTGTTTATATTTACCTTTGGAACTGCCATTGTGAAAAGGAGCTTTTCAGTGCTCTGTTTTCCAGAGCTCCTTTCTTTCATTTGACTGACTACAATCATGAAGTCATCTCGGCAGCCTCCAAAGGTCAGCACAGAAGAGTATGAATACGAGAGCTTCAAGTGCTGCAGACAGAGAGTTGCAGTTACAGTCCCGCTAAAGAATCACATCCACAAAAGAAATACAGCCACCTCAAAATGATGCATTTACTCTTTCCTGCAAGAACATCAGGCCTGCAGTCCTGCCCCTGTGAAGGGCTTGTCTGTATAGTTGACAGCTAGCAGAGAAATCTCAAATTAAAAGTGCATTTCTAGGACTTTCCTGGCTTGCTCGAGGCTTCATTATTTCAGAGCAGCAGCCCAAACTCTGTTATAGTTCCAATGGAGGTAACAAAGTCCATCCACTACGGCCATTTTACAAGATTTTGGAACGTGTTTGCTGCCCATCAAGTCAGCTGTCTCATGAAACCTTACCTCCCAGCATAGCTGTAATTTTCCTCTGTTTATGCAGTGCTCAAACACAGCCCCTACCTTCCCTCACCTCTAGCTACTACAGATTAACTTTTGGCTCCATCTGAAGTTAAAGACAATCTACTGACTTTAAGACCCAGGGAAATGTGTTGTTTTTCTTAGGCACTGTTCCTCACCATGCTGTTATAGTCCAGTATGCTGATACCATCTTCATTCACAGCAATCCAGACTGGACAGTCCTCCAAGGAAGAAGGCAAAATAGGCTGAGGAAATTTAAAAAATTATTTAGACCTTTCTTGAATGCCACAGAGGTTTCTAATAACAACTCTTAAGCTTTAAGGATAAAGCGGAGGTAAGAAAGAACCCTATATTATCATGTGTTGCTATGGCCAGTGACATGAATCTTTCCTGGTGATCAGTTGTTATGTGGCCTGTGCCATAGTTTAACTCCTGAAAAGATATAAAATATGGTAGTCATCAGAACCATCCCTGTTATTTCAGCTCTGTATGTAACTGTTCTTGTATTTTGATTCAGTGTCGGTGACCTCAAATACCAATAACCTCTTCTTCTTTTTCTGCTGACAGCCACAAAGCCAAAGGGAAGTCCCTCTGCTGCCTGGAGTTTTTGGAAACTCCTCATATGTTTACTCAAGAGACCCCTTTTATCCTTAGACTTTATTCTATAAGAGCTTTGACTTCAAAGCAAGGGCTACATAACCACGAGCAAGACCCTTTCCAATAGGAGAGGTAGAGCTTTGACTTCAAAGCAAGGGCTACGTAACCACAAGCAAGACCCCTTCCAATAGGGGAGGCTCCTGCTTCATTGGGAAAGATACTTAATGCTAGCACACGATTTCTCAGACAGACCACTATGTGCAAACACATTAGTGTGGGAAGAGGTACCAGGAAGAGAGCCCCAGGAGAGCAGCAGCACTTGCCCCTCTCCTGAAGCAGGGAGAACAGCTGGTTCTGTGCCAGGCAGAGCACAGGACTGAAGGGCCCATTCTCTTTTTACCTAACAGTAGCTGCAAGGCACTCTTCCCTTTTTCTCCCAGTGCTACGTCAATACTTTTAAAACTATCAAAACTATCAGTCCTGATGACTGCTGTAAAAGCTTTGGAAAGGGAGAGGTAGTGTATGATGAATGGATGCAGCTCAGGAGAAAGATGCAGCACCTACTGCAGAGCACTAGCAGCCCCTAGTGTCCACAGCACATCGCTCCTCTTCCCAAACCAGCACCTCAACCAACCAGAGCTGGTCCAGAGCTGCCTTATTCAGTTCCTCCCCTTCCTGAAGTAGGAGCATTTCCAACCCGTTCTACCTGAGATCACGAATGTAGCTCTGCTGGAAAAGCCCAGCCTCAAGCAAGGAAGAAAGTGCGTTCCAGTTACCTTAGCAGCAAACATTTTGGTTCCAAAGAGAGGCCATTTCCGGGCCACCGTCAAATAAATGCGAATACACTCAGGTGGAGAGCATCCCTGCAGCATCATCCACTTCGTCGCCAACCTGTCAGTCACTTGCCTTTCAGAATCCAAGACACAAGACAGCACCACTTACTAACGGCTTTCAAACCAAGTAAAATTGTATCAGATTATAAATGTACCTTCCGTGCCCAAGGACAGCACTAGGCACCCGGCTGGTTGCACTGTCAGTTAGGAAGTTTTTATTTTTATAACTTGAATTTATTTTAGCAGTTTCTATACATCCACAATTATTTTACTGTTACTTCCATCGCAATGCCCAGGAATCCCAGTCATATACCAGTTGCTCAATGCTGTAGATATTAAACAACAGTGACTGCTTTCAAACAGCTGTTGCAGTAAAACCTCGCACAGCTCATGTTCAGTTACACTCTCCCCCTCATCTTAACAAGTCTGCAGCATGACCCCTGTGGAGCAGTGATACCTACCAACCCTCTCTTGATTTGGCTGCTAGGGATGGGTTGATGGGGAGCTATCCTGCCACGTGCACATGGAAGCCATTTGCTTTCCATAGGGAACTGTGTTAGTTCTATCACTGCATCCCTGAGCAACCTGGGAGATCACCAGCTGAGATCCATGGCAGTGTCTGAATTCTGTTCAGGAGCAGTTCAGCTGTGTGTGTAACGTGCAAGGATTTCAAAGTCAGAACATCAGAATGCCCTGCTAGAATATGTCCTCTCAGAATTGCTACACGGCCTGTAGCAGCCCACAGATGCTGGCTTCATGGTTTGTTGCAACTGACAGGCACCCAGATTTCATTAAAACTGGGGGTATGGTAAAACAAAAGTTCAGAAACAAAATTAACCTGAAAGACATAAGCTTCTAGTCTAGAAGCTTCCCTGCAAAAGAACCATTTCCTGAGACTTCCCCCCACCCCAGGCTTCTGGATTAAAATTACATTGACAGGGCTCCTTGAAACTTTTAAGCATGTAGAGATAAAACTGCAAGTATAATATTTTGCACCAAAAACAATTTATAAAAGAAAAAATAGTCTTACCTGAGCTGCTCAGGGGTAATGCTTTGCTTATAGCGTTTGGGATAGAATTTATCTAAGACCTGATGGAGAAGATGCTGCATTTTGGATTGTGATGTTCCCCCAGGACTTGAAGATACTGGTCGGTCCAAATCGCCATATTCCACCTAAGAGAATGTTATAAAGTTATAGTGTACCTGAACAGCCCATTAATCCCTATATGACACCCACTGTAAGATGACACTATTTGCCCTAGGGAGTTTTATTTGCAGCATTTACTACAGTAAATGTGCAATAAAACAACTACTGAGGATATGACTGCCCAAGAAATTCTTTACTGATCTAAGAAAGCTGGCCCAGTAAAAAGATCAGAACCAGTACTTACTATAGGAAGGTACTTTATGACTGCCAAACTTCAGGATTTTATTTTCAAATGACCAAAAAAAAAAAGCACACTGTTTGTAAACAGGGTGAACAACACTCCCAGCTGCTTAATCAGAGTTTACATTTCTTTAACAAATGCAGCAATAAGCTTCAGGCCATGCCTGCAGCCCATACTTCTGTTTTATGTGCTGGAGTGCTAAATGCAAGCCTGGAGGTTTAACAGAGGATCCTACAAAAGGATCATTTACTATCAGGTGGTATTATAGCAATGGTATTTTCTTATCTCTGTTGAGGTACTAACTGGAGCAGTGCGGGGGATATTCTAGCCTAGCTGTATTCTCCTAAATCTTAGTGCAGTGTTTTTCTTCAGAAGGAAAGGAGAAGAAATCCTGTGGCAAATTTTCCTACAGCAAAAGCTGTTCTAACATCATGTTTTCCCTCGTTATATGCTGGTACAATGTGTCCAGCATGGGACTCCTCAGTTTACCACTTTTGATGAACAAGATAGCTGCTTAGTCAGAGATATTCCGTATGCAGCTGAGCTCCCTGGAGGACCAAAAGGGGGATTTCTGCCTGCAGCCATGCTCACCTGAGCCATCAGGGCCACCATTTCCAGAGCTAGTTCCTTATTAACAGGAAACCTTCCACTGGCTATTTCACTGCTGACTTGGAAGGCCAGCAGCAGCCGCTCCCGGTCCGTCTCACCTTTAGCCTGGCTCCGAAAATACAGCCTAGAAAGTAGAGAGAATTGCAGAGGAAAAGAAAAGTTGTGAACTAACTGAGAATAGAGGTGGAAATTTTAATCAAGAGAGAGAAAAATAAAAGTGCCATCTCCCCCTCCCCAGCATTAGGGGGGAACTGGACAGAGATTAGCAAACTGAGGTGTTTCCTTCGTGAACAAGGCTTGGACAAGGAGGCTCCAAGCACACTGTCCAGCTCTGGGAGCCATGTGAACTCTGTAAGGCAGCCACTTCAAGACAGCAAAGCTGGAAGAAATGAAGAAACATCGTGTTCCCCCTGCTCTCAAGCACAAACAGGCAATATTTAAGACATAGGCTTGAACTTCCCTGTTCAGTGCAGAATATAGAACTGCCTCTGCTCTGAGGCATAAGCATAAATTTATATGGTAGCCTAGCCCTTCTTATATTCATTACAACTGTCACAAACTAAGATAAGATAAAACACAACTAAGATCAGACAAAAGCCAAGTCAAAACTTATTTTTTTCATATCCAGTTACAATAAAAATCGATCTTAAAAAAGTCTTCGGTTTGCTTCAGCAACAAATAAGACTTAATTAACAGTCCTTACTGATAAACTTAAAGAATCACTCTTGCAGATCAAGGCTTCCTAGTGGTTTTTATTCACGCTCGCTCTCTCTTCAACCTGGTAGTATAAGATGATTAATCAGCACTAAAGACACCAGCTTGGGGAATGCTTCCCAGAACCACTCCCAGAACCATGCATGCCGATTTACACTGAAGCTACGTCTGTGACCATATATTCCACAACAGCACACAAAATACTTCATTCCAGTGGTTGAAGATCAGTTTGTTTATGTCTGTCAGTCCAGGAGCACCACCACAGTTGGGACCACAGTGACCTTTCCTTGCCTTATCAGAGGCCTCGGTGTTAGAACAGCCCAGCCTTGGATAGACTTTATCAAATATCCTTGCTGCCCAGTCTAGGCACATTCCAGTCCAACAAACTACATCCTGCAAGGTTTCACTACTGAAATAAATATCGTCTTCTGCGTCAAAAGCAATCACTTCTGCTTCTATTTCTGTTGTATCAACTAACAACATTCCCATAAGTTTATTTTCACCAGTGCAACCATCAAAAATCTTCAAAGAGTCAACACAAGACAGTGCTGCTCCTTTGGTTTTTGGGTAGCCTTTTCCCTCCCCCTCCATGATACAGAATTCACATGCAGAAAGCCATTTCCTAGTTCTCATACACAGCACCATCTTTAATTCAGAATTCCTCTCTTTGTTATAAATTGTGAACTTGTTCCAGATTCTGTTGTAGATCTTTGTCTCGTGTTTTTCTTCTCTACTATCTCTCCTCATCTAACGTTAGCATTTCTCTCTCTCTCTATGCAGACTGGGTACTGCTATTACATGTCTCCTCTATAGGTCCTGCCTTTTAGAGCACAAAAACACTGTTATTGTATCCGTTTCATCTTCACAATTCTTTACTTAACTGCAAGTTTCAGCTTATTCCTTTTTGCTAGTGATTTCCCTGAGGTGTCTCTTCCTCTCACCTAACACACATTATTTAATTATGCTTTAGAATCTAGGCAAATTAAATTGTGCCAAGTATGTTTTATTGTGCTATAGCTAGTACTTACCATGTTTTAAGTCTGTTCTGCTATTGCAAAGCATTTGGAATTTTATCTCTAGGTAGCTCTAGAGATATCTCTAAATATCCTCTTTCACATGCATACTACACACACACAGAAGTTATTGCATCTTATGTAGGACCTAAGCAGTTTTGACACTATAAAATTATTGGCTATCTACAGAGATATACTCAGTCTACCAATCTTTAATTAACAAAAGTACAAAAAAAAAAGAAACACAGTACCTGTTCTTATAGGTCAGCTTGACTATTCTTGTGCCACCTTCATACTTCCCAGGGTGCAATTCTTTTAAGGCTTGTTCCCATTTAGAAATAACATCACAAATCTTAATAAATAAATAAATATTTTTAAAAATGAGGTGAGAGACAGCCTGAAGGAAAATGTACAGTCATGGTTTGCAAGGAAAGCAAGAGAAAACGATACTGTGGAACACAGAGATGAAGAAATATAAAGGCTCAGCATAAACACTGCCAAAAGCGACAAACCAATTTCTTTTCCTTTCTCAGTATGTAAGAAAAAAAAAACAAGTTTAAATAGAAAACTCCAAGTATGTAAAGTCCAGTATAGTATCAACTATGCCTATGCTAGCAAGTAGCATAGCCCATGAGAAACAGATCTGCACAGTGAAACAGTGGTTCCTAAGATCCTATGCTTCATTATATGTGTTTTAAAGAACATTATATGTGTTTTAGTCTGGTCACATGGCCTGAAAACCCAGTGTGTGGGATAACATCTTCCAGCTCATGTTTCACATGAAAAAACCCATTTCTCGCTCTCTAAGATTGTTCCACAATGTGAACCAAAGTGTGGTCAGTGGGAATGACTGCGAGGTTGGCTTCAGAAGAACCCACCTGAGCCAAACTACAGCATGAATGAGGATGCACCCTCTGAAGAGCAGCTGTCTATTTGCCTGGCTACGCCAAACCTCTGGGATCAGACTGTCAAAAGTAAAAGTTAATCTCCTCAGTTACAATTCTCTTCTCTAGGCTATTCCAGTCCTCCCAGGAATGGTCTAATAAAGGTCCCTAGTCCTATTTTGATAGCATAGCAATAAAGGGAATATTAACTTAAGAGGCTACATGAACTATGTAAGTATATACCTTAATCCTCTCTCATGGATCTACTGAGGTTGTCTTAGCCAGTGATTTAACCAGTCGAAGCAATGCCTTTGATTATCTCAAACTCCATCATTTATCTCATCTCTCCAAATAGTGGTTAAATTACCAGCAAAGCTCCACATCATCCAGTCGATAGCCAGGGCACAAGGACAAAGCCTTTCATTTGGCAGTCTCTGTGGTATTTGCCTCTTCATGACATCTGCGTTGAAGTCATTGGCATTTTCTTCTTACGTTACCCAATGTAAAATTTAACATTCATGTTCCTTACAGATCTGGGGGTCTCTTCAAAGTTGCCACTTCTACTATTCCTCCATCAGTGTCTAAGACAAATTATCCCCTCATCTTAGTGTCAAAATCTACTGTTTGTCACTCATGGCAACTAGCTCACCTCCGTAGGGTGGTCATCCAGTGAGTTAAAGCTTGCTGGGGGTGGAAGCAGCGTGTGCTGTTTTTTTCTTTAATTTACCAATTTATTTTAATTTACCAATTTACTACCTACTAAAATAGAATGTGCTTTGTCTTAACTAGTGTCTCAGATTAGAGTCTGCTAATTAACATCTCATCTCTGAATACTTGCAATACCTTGCAATACTTGCAATTTGATCTTGATGCATAAAAAAAAATTAGCATCCATTCAGCAGCTCTTCCGCTTGTAAAAGATGACAAAGATTACCTTCATGTTGCCCTGCAGACAGTGCTCCAAATCCCTGCCAGAAGGATCATCTGTGAAGAGAGAAAATCCCATGTGGGACGGCTTCTTCATTCCTGTCTCTTGGTTCAGCCGCTGGATAAATTCATCAACTGTTGAGGAACCATCAAAACCTACAACCTGAAGTGAAACATGAGCTAATGCAAGAGAACTTTCAAAACACATGACATTGATGACTACTAAAACTAATGAAGCCTTGTTTCCTACACATTGGTGATTGCCAGCTCCAGTTGAAGTCTTCCCCCATGACTACACATGTGCACCATCTCCCTTCCTCCCACACGCCGGAGGACGCGGCTGCTCACCTGGTAGGTTCCATTCATGAAGTGCACGGGGATGCTGAAGGGCAGCGAGTGGTGGTAGGGGTTCCTCAAAAGGATGGACACAATCTCCATCCGGGAAGGCCTGGCCTCCCGCTCGCCGGCGTGCACCGTTCGCTCCACGGATCTCTGGCAGTAGATGGCATACTTGCCTATTTCACTCCTGGAGAAGGAGCCAGGGATGAGCCAAAAATCCTTGCTTTAGATACGCCCTTTCCACACCACCAAAAAGCATCACTCCTTGAGCTTTCATTCGAGCAGCGATGCATCTTTATCAGATGCCCCAATTCATCTCAGCAGACTAAGAGCTGAGAGTAAATCTGTAAAAGCTGTAATACATTTCATTCAAAGTAAGCTACGGATTTGTTTATAGTTAAAAACAGTGCAGGGAGAATTACTAATATCCCTTTGGTGTTTAGTGAAGAGATGGCTCCGCTAATCAGGACTGAAGGGTGCAAGTGTCCCTAAAGCTGGGCGGGAATAGCCAATTACACCTTTAGGAAAATAATTTAAAGAATGTATATAGCAAAAAAATTCTGAAACTGAATGCAATTCAAGGATTTATAAGGATTTGTAACTGTGCTATTACTTGGTGGGGGGGGAGCAATTCCATTCAACATGCCTTCTGGAGCTTAGTAGGTGATTAAATTTCCAGTTAAATCTCTGCAAGCAACATGCAGGTTGGGAGCGCTTGCTCTTCACTGTAACAAGATACTGCTCATCGCCCTCATAATGTGATTGAACTGTAATCCGGGAACAATTCACAGAGGGAGAATCCTGCTTCAACTCCCTGTTGATCCCAAGTTGCTTGCATATTTTCAAGCTGTTGATCCCACATTCTCCCAAACACTGCTGAGCCTGGCTTCTATTGACCATTTCCTACTTTTCTTTCTTGCCCAAAACATTGGTATATACTTCTTTTAGGTGACTTTTCATGAAAAAACAAACAAACAAACAACAAAAACCCTAGGATGATGATCTTGTGTAAGCTTAGCTCATAAGATTAATACAGCATAGATGTCCAAGTACTTTGTTAGCTACATAACACAGAAGGAGTATCTGTGTCTAGCTAGTCAGGAAATGGACGTATCTGCTCTCTCTGAAGATAGATAAGTATTCCTAAAGCTAAGCAGGAGGTGCTAGTCTAATGTCATTTAGCAACTACTCTAAGTGTAAACTAAACTAGATGCATACAGGAGCACAATTTGCTTTAGTTTCTGTTTATTTGTTTCTAACCCTAGTAATCATGTGTTTCATAGCTAGCTTGTATAAATATATTTCCTTTTAGCTTATGCTTGGAGCTTATTTGCTGATAAACAGGGTTTGGGGCTAAGAATCTGGCAAACCATCAGCACAATAATCACTGAAGTTGAGGTGCTAAATCAGTTTCAGAGGGCCCAACAACTCCCCTAATTCAAGAATAATTGAGGGTAGTACAGCTGCCCCTCTAATGAGCTGCGTGAATCAGCTTGTGAGCTGGTAACGAACAGCATTGGCCAGATGTCCTCTCATCCTAGCCAGAGCAACCCTAATATTGCTGGACAACGGAGAGACAGCCTGAACACTGAGGACCTCTTCTCATCTCTGCTCCTACTTCTAAGAAGAAACAGTGAATATAAGACAACATGAAAGAAAATAAAGTAAAATATACACACACACACACGGAATACACAGATTTTCTGTGCAATATGAGAATTGCAGCTAGAGTTCAGAGGCAGACTTAGGCTGGGTGTTTCAATACAAGTATTTGCTTGAGATGAAACCACACTTTAAGCTCTGTCTGGCCTTCACATTGAGCACATGTTGCTGCAACAGATAACTAGATGGCTCGCTTGCCATGACCCCTACAACAGGGCAGTGAGACATACTGAAGACCAGACCACCACGGAAACACATAAATAGCAAAGCACGAATATCAGAGAACAGCTTATTGCTGTTACAGTAGATCTTGTGCTGTTTTCTCACTGAGGAGAGTGTTACCCATTATAACGCACTAAAGAGATAATAGAAACCAAACTAGAATATATTTAGGGTTTGTTAGCTGCTGCTAGCTTAAGTTATTCTTTGCCTCACTTTTATTCTCTCAGCAAGCATGCTAATCTGACAGCAAAAGGTAGTCACCAGAGATTGAGTTTAAACAATTACTTTGGTCTGTATTTAAATTTTATCAATTAAAGAAAGTAGTTGTGGTGGTAAAAAATAACCCTCAGGTGGTTTCTGATTACACCTGTAGGAAGTTCTTTAGTTAATACAGTTCACTGAGTTTTGCAGACTAGCTTAAGTGATACAAGGACTGAAGGGCAGCAGTGGAGGCAGCGCAGAAACTTCTGTCTCCCTCCAACTTATTTTGTGGGTATGAATCCCAAAATTATTTCTCTCTGTTTCTGCAGCATTTAACAAAAGAAAGTGCTGTGGCCACCCTTACCTGGGGTCTGCGTGCCGCTGCAGGTGCTGTTTGATGTACCAGAGGAAGTGATGTTGAGGCAGGAATAGAGGAGCACACAGAGCCAGGAGCTGCCAGCACTGTGAACAGAAAACCCAACATCACTCTTGTTCTCCGTTTTCTGCCTGTTTGCTTTAGTGGAATTTTTACTGTAACCAAAGTGCTGGATGGTGACCAGTGTTTTTGAGAGTGACCATTTTTAAACAGACAGCTCAAAATGCTTTAAAGAGAAATGATTTCAAGATGACAGGCTGCTCTTCAGTATCTGAACCTGGACTGAGAAGGGGCTCTCTAAACGAGTGGTCACTTTTGAAAACTTGGATAGTGTAACCAGAGCTATGTGAATAATTAACATCTAAAATTTAATCAACACTTCCTTTCTTTTTCTGTAACTGCAGATCATTACAAAGACTACATTGGGAAATTTTGTTTCAAAATACTCACATACTCCCCTAACTGGATTTTATTTTCTCTCAAGCTCATTTGAACTGGGAATGTTATAATCAAGATCAGCATTTATGTGATGACTTATAAATCTGATTTACCCAAAAATTATAGTGCAAAAAAAATTACGTTTAGTTGTAATATTCAAGACTTACACGCTGTTGATTAAATAAAACTAAAGACAAGATTAATACAAGGTGAGAACTGTAGACAGGCAACACAACATGAGCACAACAGATTTTGATGGCAAATATAGCTGGAATGGACGATTTGCAATTGGTAAGTGGTTAAATTCAAACTAAAATCTGTTTTACAAATAGTTACATTCTCACTGTTGTTTCTTTGCATATATGTCAGCTTTAATACAGTCTTTCCTCTAGCAAACTTAAAATTTGCAGGATTTTCCAAGAATCACTCTCATTGCTAATTATTAAAAACATGGAATTAAACAGAAAGCACTCGCAGAGCAGAAGTGTCGAAGTGGAACTCACCTGAATGACTGAGTGGTTCTGGGGCCGTCGGCAGCTGGTCTGTTTAACGAGCTGACAGTAAATTTCATTCTGCAGCTCTGTATGCGTGAGGCAGACCTGCAGCGCCGTCTGGGCAAGCGACACGTGGTAATCAATAGAAGGTGCCTCCACAGGAACATTGATGAACAGCTGGCACGACTGTGAAAGAGGGAAGTTATCTAATGCCATTCACCCTATGCCATTCACACAGAGACACTTCTCTGGTACTTTCCAAGTCAGGTTCCACAAACGCGTTACAGACAACTGATTAATTCTTCTAAACAACCCTGAAAGGGGAAATAAATACTAAGTTTTTATCCCATCCTCTAGAAATGAGCTGAAAAATACACTAAACTTACACCAGCCTAAGGAGCTCAGCAAGAGAATCAAGAGGAAAAGGCTTCCTGCCTTCCAGGCCTGTGCTTTACCTTGCTAAGCCTGCCCAGTGGCAGTGCTCATCTTGTAGAAGGCAAAAGTCCAATCTCCAGTTGCCACTGGCTTTATGGCTGGAGAATGTGTCAGCAAATTGCTTGTTTTCTTCAATCTGACTACTGGAGAGGAAATAAGGCTAGTTCTGAAGTGCACAGCCTGTGTGGGACATTGCTTCCATCTCCAGGCTCCCCACAAGGAAAAGTTAATTCCTTAGGGAATGAGTGATGCTTAATAAGCCAACCGACCTAATGTAATTAATTAGCACAGTGGGCCTGTCTAAAGCAACTAAGGTTGATTGTTATGTAACTGTTTTAACCAGGAAACATCTGCCCCCAACAACTGAGCAAAGTAACCCCAAACCAAGCAGCGTCCCTCTAAATACCTTGAAAAGCTTCAGAGCTTCAGTCTGCAGAGCCTCGGAGGGGAGAGTGGTGAGGGATGTGTGCAGCCCATCTTTACTGTAGCACAACATGGGGTGTTTCCACAGAGGAGAATCTGAGGTGGTAAGTGCGCAAAAACATTCAATGTCAGAAACAGATGATTATATATACACTCTCCACACTGAGAAAGAACCTTACTGACATCAGAGCATCCAGAAAAAGCTGTGCTGCACTAGGCCACATCTATGTTTGGTGCCATTTCATTGATTTCAGCAAAGACTGACACAAACAAGGCTTGGTTGCCTGCAGCATCAACCGCCAGCAGAAAGCAGTGATGCCTTCCACAACCCCGCTGCATCAGAACTTCCTATCATCAGGATTCTGGTGAGAAATTGCTCATTTGGTTATACAAGCAAAAGATGCAAGCCACACCAGGCAGGCACATGCTACAGGGATCTTTATTAGTGCAAGTTACTGTTGCACACAAAGCAATGTCTATGGATAGTTGTGAAAATACGTGAGTGTGAAGGAAAGGGTACTCAGTATGAATGCATATGTTAATCATTTGAGAGGATAGTACTTAAAGACATAAATGGTTGAGTACCTAAGATGAGGAGGAACAGTTGAGCATGGGTGTAGCTTGTGAGAGTTTTTACCTGCAGACAGAGCAACGGATGTGTATGTGAACACATGTGTGCGAGTGTCCTCAGAAGAGGGAGCATATGTGTATAGAGTCAAGATTCCCAGGAAAGAAGAACCCGGATCAACAACTGCAGGAAAAACTAAAGCTCCAGTTCTTTGTCTAACATCTGAGACAATGTAATAAAGTTTCAGGTGCCTGATAAATGACAAGACAAATTTGCCTTGTTTCACTACACTGTTTGTACTCTCTTCATGGCATATGTTACTGTGGGACTGTGGTTGCAGGACCCTCTATTTCGCTGCTGTTCTATTGAGATATGCCCTTTCCTCACCTTTGGTCGATTAAACCTGGGGTTCCAAATAACCCTTCCTTGTGCTTTGCTACTGCAGGATAGAGTTTTTGATTTCTACTTACTAGGGTCTCCCTCTGCATCCAGCAGTTTTCCAATGAGTTGTTCGTATGACGTGCCCACAGCGGCATTACTGCTACCAGCCGCTACCGTCAGATGGTATAGCCAGGTATTCTAGGAATAAAGATGAGAGCCACGTGGGTCCACTTGGACCCTGTTTTCTACAGGCAGGTTCAGTTTGTATGACCCAGGCCCACGTGCTAAAGCAGGTTGATATCAGCCCTGTGCACTTCTCTCTGCCTTTATACCTTCTCCTGTTTGGTGCGAATGAGTAAGTAGGTGGGACTCTGGTCCTGTGGGTGAATCACCAGAGTGCAGTGGGACGAGAGAAGGCCTCCACCGGCGGCTTCGTAATCTTCATCGGAGTCACAGGAACGGTCAACCTCTTTCACTTTGGATCCGCGCAGACACAGATGCCCTAGGGGACACTAAGAAGAAGAAGCAGGCTAAGTAGTCATAGCTAATCTACCATACAGGGAAAAAAAAATCTAGTTCAGTATGCGAGCAGCTCTAAAATTTAAGAAATCAACTATAATTTGGTATTTAGCTAAGGGGGTCTACATATAATTAGATCATGCTGTATTTCCAGAAAACCCCAGCTCCTTCATCAACTATTAACTGCGGTCCCAGGTTTGCGCTATTATCATTACTACTTTTATTATTCGTCGGGAAGAGTATCTACAGGTCAGAACAAGAACATTAAATGAGAAGATGGCTTTTCCCACAAATTACTATTTCCCTCCTTCTGTTTCACTTGCTGGTTGTAACTGGTATTTACAAAATCCACTACAAGGCACATCCTACACTACAGAGAAGATTCTAATCTATGATTTGTATCATTGGTTCTGCAGGGCAGGATATGCTTTCTAATGGTCAGTTCCTCAGTATCTTGAGTCACTGGGTTCTGATCCTCAGACCTCCTGCTTGCTACTGGAAATGAGTACTCTTCAAATGACACAAACAGCTAGATTCAGACACACAGAGAACACCTCTAGCACTAAGTCTGGAGGCAAACTTCAAGTACAAGCGAAAATGCTGCAAAACTTGGGCTTAAACCTCACCAAGACGAAATAATACAGCTTTGTGACAAACTTCAAGTTACTTCTAGTTGCTACTTACTTTTCTAACAGCATGAAAAATATGTCAGCTGCTGGATAAAACAGTCTGCTCTAAAAGTTTCACAAGGCCAAACTGAGAAAATGAGAAAAAAATTACACATAGCGATCTGAGAAAGAGTAGTCACTTCCTATGCAAACTTTTTCCATTTTAGTATTTAATTTTTTTTTTAAATAACTTATTGATTCCTTTCATAGGAGCAAAGGGAGAAGGGGAGAAGTAGACAGGAGGAACAGTTTGATGGATGAGACACAGAAGCGGTAAAAGCAGAGAAAGTTGCACACATAACAAGAAAGAAGGATACAAGGACAGAATGAAAAAGGAATTACCTTATCCTCATGATTTCGATAGTAGTAAAATGTTTTCCCTATCAGTGCACACCAGACCAGCTTAGAATGGCCGTGCTTGACCTAGAAGGACAACAAGGAAACACTTAAAAAAAAAAACAAAAAAGCCGTGTTTCTGACAACTTCATAGCATTCCACACTTCATGCAAAACTCTGCGGGAACGTTTTATATATTTGTTCTATGTTAGCATCAGTTCCTTTCAAAACACAGAGGGCATCACTTCCAAAAGTATGTAGGTACTTCCAACCTAAGTAGATGTGATATTGAGGCTTTCAGAATTGGGTCTAAGTTTTTGTGAACTATTTTACTTGCATTAACCCATCATTACCCTGTCCTGAAACATGGCATTCAGAATAACCTCTTAGATAATGAAAAGGATTCACTGCATCACTGCAGGAAAAGACCAGCCAACACACAGTCTAGAGAGCTGTTTCCTGCTGTAGACAGCCAAACTGCAGATGCAGGTTTAGCCACCACTCAGATCTTGGCGAGATCAGATTTATAGGGAGAAAAAAAAAATAGTAACTTGTTATGCAAAACTGGTTTATGGACGTGGCATAAAAAATATGAGATTTTCCAGCCACTACAAAGAGGTCTGTATGGAAATAAACACTCTGGGAGATCCAGGCAAGCCATTTCTTTGATACTCTTCCATAGCATCAAGTCCAGATCAGTAAAATATGACATTTAACAGCATTTTCTATTGTTTGTTTCTTACTACAAAGTTCTGTGAGCTCTGTTGAAGAAAAAAGTCCATAAGCTAGATGTTTGTTTTTATATACTGTTCGACAAAGTCAATACATCCCAGTAGCCTCAATTGTTGTTTTATACAACAATTCCTGAAATGCAGAAATATATCTCCCCCCATTCTTTTAGGGAACATTAAAATACTAATTCCTTGAAGACATTTACTCTGCAAACCAAGAAATTAGTAATCTGTCAATACTGAGCTAAACTGAACAAAGCCAGAAGTAATATCTTACCTTGGTTAACCAACCTTTCACAATAGGTTTAGCATCACTACGAGGAACATCAACAGCATTGGTCACCTGCACTCTGAGGATGCTCTGGAGGACATGAATCCACTCCTCCAGGATGTTGGGAGAGTCTGCTGTCAGGAAGTAGGTCCTCTTTTCTGTCACGAGCTGGAAGCAAAAGGAGTGAGGAGGCATAATGCTGAGTTTTGTTTCTTTTGGCAGCGGTGGGCGATAGTCTTGATATTAAAAAGATTGCTATCCTTATGGCACATTTCAGTCTTTTCAGGACTGAAATGCAGATGGATGAAACAACTTTCCATGGGCTGTCTTGCTCCTTCTGTTGGATACTGTGGCTTTCTTTGTCTCCTCTTTTGTTCTGTCTTATTACTTGGTGCTGCTGTTAATTTTCACTGTAATAGTGGCTGCTTGTACGTACTTTCAGTGTATTCACTTTGTATTGCTTTCTGCTCTCAATAGCTTTCGATTCTTGAAGATGAACCCTATGAATTTAACGGCGCTAAGCCTTAGTACCTTCAGTATCACAAAGGGAGAAGGGAGCTCCTGGGCCAAACCATATGCCTTTCAGTCAGGGTGCAAGAGAAACTTTAATACCTCCACTATACTGGAGTCCTTTGACAATTATGACTGAAAAACTGAACCCAATAATGGGTTAACTTCTAATGTCTAGAAACTGAATTCTACTGGGAATCCAATACTTTACATCCAACACTTCAAATCTGAGGGATCTGAAACAACATCTAAAGTCAGGCTGAAGATCTTGCGAGACTCCAAGAGGAGATCCTAAATAAAACCCAGCTTTAGTGTTACAAGAATCATTTTTCCTCACACAGCTTCAAGCTCTCAATCCTAACTACAAAAAAAAGAAAGTATAGAATGTTTTTCAAAAAGGCAACATCAAAAAGTAGTGTTTGTGTTGCAGTTTAGCTAGTTCCCTGTTATTTACAAAACTAACTGCTTGGCTCATATCAGAAACCAAAATACAGGAGCCAGGCAAAGTTAAGCTCCTTTAAGCGGAGACGTAAAGTACTATTTACTCTGAAATAAGGTCTCTCACCTAGCCGTTGAGCACACGGTTACGTGCAAGATGAAAAGGCAACATTTACCTGGAATGTTTGGGACCCTTCACCGCGGACAATTTGGCATGAGGAGTTCAGCTCCATCTGCCCCTGTGGCTTGCGGATAACATCACTCTGGAGGAAGAAAGGCAAACAACTTTCTCAGCAGGAGAAAAATCTATGCATCTTAGAGCACTTAAGTCAAACTCATAAAGTTCTAAACATACACGTCCTGGTGGAAGTATTAACTATGTAAAATAATTATAAGTAATATAAAGTATTGGGAAAGGCTTAATTGCACAAATTTGCTCTCTCAGTATTGTTCCACTGATCATATTGAGAGAAAACATTTCACAAAAAGGTTCACATAAGGGTGATTTTCAATTTTACCCACTTTCATGTCAGTGTGGGAGGTGAGAAATGACAACACTTGCTTTCTTCTCTCTCAAAAGTTATGGTTTTCCATGAAGTCCTTCATCCTGACTTCAGAGTGCAAGTCTACACCAGTGTCAGTTATTTTTCCTTTGTTTTCATCTCAAACCTGACCAAAACCAGGACATGGCACACCTGCTTTCAGCCACCTGCACAAGTTCCTCTCCTTGTGAAAGAGCTTCTATGTACCAGAAGCTGCCACCACAAACAGCTTACCTGCCTGAGCAAAGAAGCCATAACGGTACTCATGGGACAGGCATAAAGTTTTTGGGCAAGAAATCTGCGGGGGGAAAGCTTGCCCACAGCTGAGCTCTGCCAGTGCCATCAGCCTAGAACCTCTCAGGCCAAAACAAAGCAGCTCTGTAAGCAGCCTTCCCTCCACAACTCAGAAAGGGGTTAAGCGTATTCCAACAACTCACCGGAGACTTGTAGTACATGAACTGCCTGTTTCTCAGAACAAACCATCGCCTCTTCCACATCTTCACCTGGCTGCCCATTTTCAGCAAGTAACCTGACTTCTCCATAGGTTCCTAGAGGACAAAAAGCAAGGGGGTTCATTACAAGAAAAACCCTCTAAAAATACAACTGAAAAGCAGTTGAGTTCAGTTGAAATCAAGCTTGGGCATCTTCTGCATCTCCATCATTTGCCTCTCTACGCTGCCAAATGAGATTAACAGGGGCTTGGAAAGGCTCCAAGATTATCTGTTTAGGTACAAACACCGCAGAGTGGTGTGTTAGTGAAGAAGGCATATGAAGCTAGTTTCACTGTTTAGTTTATGCCTGAAAACTATTATTTTTCTTCCTACCATGGCAGTGGCTTCCCAAATAAAAATGATGTCTGGCTCTAAGCACTAGTTAAACTCCTGCTCGTTATCTGCTTAATCTTTCACATTCAGGAATACACAATTTAATAATATAAGTTAATATTCCCTGTGTTCAAGGGGTTTTCCTAGAACAAAACATTCCACCCTGTCTCCCTGCCTCCTCCAAATTTCCTAACTTTGGAAAGTTTTGTTTTGTCACAAACGTGCAAGTCCATTGTTAAAGGAGAATGTCACTACAGGAAAACTGTACAGCCTATTGTGCTAATTGAGCAGTATATAGTATAACCCCTTTCTGCTTCAAACCAGCTGCGTCAACAGTAAGGTCAAGCACAGCATTACTGCAGCAGGTAACTCGGTATGTTGCAGTTTTGTATTTTCTTTCAAAGACAAGGTTCTGTTTGTGTGCCTTGCAGCTGTAAGGTAGCAACTACAAGTAGGTAGTAAGACCTACAGTGCAAATCCCACCATCAGTGGAATAGGAAGACGTCCGCTGGAGCTTATGCTCTGGCTCTGAATAGTCACCATCCAAGGAATAGGCATCAGGAGGGATGGCGTAGTCACTCTCGGAGCTCAGTGAGGACATGGAAACACCTGTTCAAAACAAAGGAAAGGATGGGAATCATGGCAAGACAGAATTTCGCCTGATGCTGCACACTCTGGAAAGGTTTTTGAATTCATCATTTAAGCTTCTTTGCTCAAAAGGAAGAAATAAGATATTTCTTATTGGTCTTATCGGTAACTACAGATACTCAAGCCCACAAATCAAGCTTCTGGCCCCTCATCTCAGTCTCTCTTGTGAGTGCAAGAGAGAGAAAAAGACTTAGAGGCTGGCTTTGGACAGTGGAAGAAATCTGCTGCTGAATAAACAGAAATTAAAATCGACTGATTTGTACAGGCATGATATTTTCATTACGTGGATGTTTCCACAATCAACCTCAAGACTCTCCCATTCAAAATAACTGAAAGACTCTACCATCAGCAATGAGTACTTGCTTTCTGTGAACCTTTCACCACTGGTCTGTGGCACTGCAAGGACACATCAGCCAATGCTTATATTTTGTTGACGAACAATGAATATCTTACTCTAAGTTCCAATTTAACCTCTCCAGCACTCAAGGATAACTTGCCCTGGCCAAGACTCAGATTTCTTGATGACTTCTGGAGGCAGGAAAGATTTGGTTACTGGTCAAGAAATTCTCAGCTAGCGAGAACAACACTTTTTACAACAGTCCCTCCTCCTCCCTCCCTCCAAACATAGTGGTATTAGCCTGTTCTCAAGGTGAGCTCACAGAAAAAATATGGATGCTCTAGTAGCTGTGTGTAAGGCCCCAACAGTGATGAATTTGGGAAATCAGTCTTTCCCATGATCTTAGCTTAACAATCATCTGGATGGAAAGCAACCTGTGGCAGAAACCAGGAGGATGGGTTTCTACTGTGTAGTTGCTGATATCTGCCTGCACGTTGTGATGCTAACAAGCAGACATTTGACAAGGGCTGTGCACTTGTTTGTCTACTACTAGTGATACTCTGTTTGGAGAATCTTGCCTTGTTTGTAGGAACAGCATTCCTGTTGCTCAGTGGCAAAGCTCCCACTTTACCTCTTTTCACTGCACGAGGGCTGCCCGGCACGCTGGCTCTCCTGTTCTCGGATCCAGCATTAGAAGCTCTGAAGCTGGCGTGGGAGCTGCAGTCATCATCAGAGCCTGAAGACTCATCTAAGAAGGGCACGTTGCTGATCTGCGTGGCTTTCTGGAAAACAGACCTGCATGGTCAGCACATGATGTAAGGAGACTCAATCAAAACCAAATAAAAATCAAAACCAAATAAAAAACCTCAACAACAACAAACCCACCCATGCGTGCTATTTAAGCAGGCCCTTGATTTTAATGCTACCTTGCCTGCTACTGTCTTAGAGCTCTTCATGTCCTATATTCACTTTCTAATTCAAGAACTTCCAGATTGGACTGCCCAGTCCTATTTTGGAGGTCTCCCTTGGTTCCACTCTCCTGTTGTTCCACAGCTCAGTGCTTCCCCTTGAGCTGTGAAGACCCTCTTCCATTTCACTCTCTAGGCTACATCCACTGTCACACATGGGATCCTAAAGCCTCGTGGCGCACACTGCAACTTCCTGGACCAAAACTTGCTGCGATGTTCTGTCTTTCCACATGCTTTTATCATCTGCTTCTCCTTCTGCATTCTTTCGGTCTCCAGTCCTTCCTGGCATTCTTTAATTTTCTTTCCT